CAGCCTGGCTGTAATCCCCCACCTGGTACACTTACCAGAAGGGGCACTGCCACTACCATGGGGTGCATCTGGATGAATGGTTGAAGGTTCTCCGCTTGAAGTTTCTTTTAGCCCGTCCGTTTGTGAGAGGATCTCTACTGCTCTCCCTGTCGCACAGAAAATAAAAATACAAGTGGCCTTTAGGGGAAAAAAATCATACATATTTTAATAATATCAAGAATTACCTTCAGGCTCAATTTGTATCTGGTCGAGGCTCTTTCCTTTGAATTCCGTCACTCTTCCCTGCTCCATGGCCATCAACACTTTGCTGATTTTGGCCAGCTCCAGTGTCCCCTCTGGTAGTCTGTAATATTGCCTGTGGATGCGAATGTCATGGCCGAGGAAGTTGGCAAGTATGTCCATCTCATTCTCTTTCATATTGAGAACTGTAGACATAGTAGCTATGTGCTTTCTAAGTTTGGTTGAGGATAGCATCTCTGGATGCACCGCACCACATTCTTTGGCTACCTGGCGTAGGGAGTCTGATCCCCTGATGTGGGTGTCTGCGCCCGGGCGGGAAAAGAAGTATGGGTTATGGTCAGAGATGGAACAGGCCCTTCTGTTCTCCACCAGCACCTCCATCGAAGCAATCATTTCAGGAGTCAAAAGAACCGGCACTTTCCGACTTCTTTTCCCTTTAATTTCAATGCGTTGAAAATGCTGACACAGCTTTTTCTCAAGTTGGGACAGTCCCAGAGCAATGTCAGAATGGATCCCAGTCTTACTTCTTAAGGTAAAGGCTGTCAGTGGCATCTTTGAAACCTCACCTTCCCTTCTTCGATTGAAAATGATGACCTCACAAAGAGTCAAAACTGCCAGTTTAGACCAATGCTTAGACGTTGGCTCACTTATTAGGGTTTGCACATATTCAGGTCGACATACCTCAATATGTGCATGCATGGCTCTAACGTCCTCAGTCAGAGGGAGCAGGTCCGGAGTGTTCCACTTGGCTTGCCGGAGGGTCTGTAGGGCAGCAGAAGAAACACAGACGTCCCACCTCTTCTCAAAAAGCAGCCGGCTTCGTTGGAGGTTTTTAATAAATAGTTCATCAACACAATGCTCCATTTTTGAGTCACATTCAAGAATATCTGCTAGCTTTCTGAGGCTATGGCCGAGTTTGAGGGCCAAGGATGGAGTCTTGTATTGATTTGTTTCCTCATCATATCCAGCCACAGACCTGACTGCATCAATCACATGGTTAAAGTTGGAAGGAATAAAGAAATCCTTAATTGTTTTCAGTTTCCCTGCGGTTTTTGCTTCGTTAATTAACCTACCGACTTCTCTCATTTTCTGCCTAATGTAATCATGCTTTGTCTTATCATGCCCGTGTTTTAAGTACAGGTGCTCTCCGAGTCTCAGAATCCCCTTTTCTGCTTTGACAACACCCGTGACCTCATCCTGATGCATTGCCAAAATTAAAGACCACAGCTTTTTGCTGATGCCCTCCGGTACAGGCTGGGCTAGGGAGCAGAGGGACTGGACCCTACTTCTACCTGGTTTAGCCTGGTTTAGCCTGGGCATCTTTCTGTGAAAGCCGGCACCTGGCCACATGCCTCCACAGCGACTTTCGCTTAAGCAATGCCCCACAGTCTATACAGTGCAAAAACTCACTGGATTTAACTGGGGAATTTGGCTGTTTAGCTGGGACTAAAGTTCCAATGCCGGCCTTTAAAACCTCAAAATTGTGCTCACGGTTTCCACTATTCCTGATCAAATCAAACTGAAGTTTACGTGCTTTAGATTTCACAGGTAGAGCCAATGCTCTGGCTACGTCACTTTCATTTCCATGTTTTCTAGTCAAATGACGGGACATTTTGTGGCAGGACATTGAACAGTAGAGGCAGAAGTGTCTCTTGCTGTATACTCGCCCCCCATTTTTCTTCTTTTGCAGCTGCATGATAACAATTCTTATTTGCCTTTGGTTCGTCACTTTCCGAGTCTTGAAGAAAAGTGTTTTTGATTTTTCTTTTTCCATACTTTTTTACAGGTTTCTTCTTGACAGTTAAATCGTCAGAATCTGAGTCGACTTCATCAATTAGGGACTCTTGACTAAGCTGCACAAACAACAAATAATTTGTAATCATTCTATATAACAATTTGAAGTCATGACTTGTAGTCAGCACTTACCAGTGGTTTGTAAGCGTGCGCTTCAGTGTGCTCCTCCATGATTTCTTGCAGCCTAATGAACCACACACTTGCACCTTTTTCTAGCCTGACACCTGATTTCCTCTGTTGTGCTGCTCCATGATTGGCTCCAGCCTGCTGGACTGAAATTGCCCCAGTGTGCCCCTCCTTGATATCCCGCAACCCACCACCAGGGTTCCGACACATAACACACTTTTTTCAGGAAAGTAAACCTCCAGGGGTCCTTTCCATATTTTTACAGAGACTGCATAAGGACCGTTAGAAAAGCATTACCCATTGATTATTAAGCTTGGACCAGTGGGGTCCGGTGTTCGGGCCCCACCACGTAAAACCAGTCCCCATGACGTGAGTGGAATCTCAGGTTATGGAACCCACCAGGAGTTGAAAACAAGTGCACACACACACACACACACACACGCACACACACACATACACATACACACACACACACACACACACACATACACATACACATACACACACACACACACACACACATACACATACACATACACACACACACACACACACACACATACACATACACATACATACACACACACACACACACACACAACACACACACACACACACACATACACATACACATACATACACACACACACACACACACACAACACACACACACACGCACACACACACATACACATACACACACACACACACACACACATACACATACACATACACACACACACACACACACTTTTCAGAATCCTTTTTATTGCCTTTGTAAGTAACAGGAAGTCACAAACAAGGAATTTTCTTTGGCAGAAATTTAAAAAAAAAAGTCTACAATATACAATCACACGATACAACGAAAAAGCTTTAAAATCTATTGAACTTGTCCCTTGTTCTAAAAATAGTTTTGCTCAATCTAGTTCTCACAAGCATTCATATGTTTGGCCTCCGTCCCTTCTTTAAATGATCTTTTTCAAACAAAATAATGGAAAAGTGAGTTCTATCTTGACTCAGCCAATCAGCGAGAAGCATCAGACACTGACGAAGGCTCTTATTTATTTAAAGTAAGCAGAAATAATATGTTTTTGAAAATGAAAAAGTTTACAATAATTTTCTGTTGGAACACCATGTCTTCCTTTTTTGGTTTTTGATTTTTTCTTTCTCTTTTGAGCTCTTGGTCTTGCTATTAAAAAATAAAATAATTAAAAAGGGAAATAAAATAAATAAGATAAATAAAATGAAATAAATGATATACCCAAGCTTCAAAGATGGCTCAGTAACACCAAGTTGCATAAGGGTTCCAATGTCTTAATATGTTGTTAATAAAGATTGATAAAGATCTAAAATGCTTCCCAGAAAATAAACTTAAATCTGTTTTTGCACATGCACAGTTCTGTAAGAGTTTCTCTCAGTGAGCAGAAACACAAACGTTGTATTTGGCTCATAGCGGCAAGTAATATTTCTGAAATCATGTCATCATCTCAACAAGGTATTGTTAAAACTCCAAAATAGTTTTTCAGTTTGAGAAAACGAATCGAAGTTTGAGGCGAGGGAGAAATGTTCAGTCCAGGCTTCGTTCACAGCGAGAGTGAGGCCTTTGGTGGAGGTCTGCAGGGTTTCCTCCGTCCATAAAACACTTTCTGATGACGCCATTGGAAAAAAGACGCCAAAATGTCTGCCTTGTTCCAAACCATTAATTCCAAAGTCGTCAAGCTTTGGATCGTATGAAGGGAATTCTGCTGAAGTCTATTTTATTATTTACGAAATCTGCTTTGAACAATCATATAGCAAAATAAGATGTCCATATGTCAATGTCCATGACAACTTTTTTGTATAGCACATTTACAACAACACCAGCCGCCCAAAGTGCTTCCCATGCACAAAAGACAAAAGAGTAAAATGTTGGTAAGATTCATTAACTAAAACTAACAAATTATGCCTATTTTTTTAAAGGCAAGTTTTGTTTTACCTTGAATGTAGTTTGTGATGTAAGATTATTTTGCTAGTTTCAAGATTATAAAACTTAACAAATCCAGACCTTATTACGAAATGAAATGAGTATGATGGTGTGGTAAGACCAGGCTAGTGCATCCCTGATATGGACTGATACAACAGGAACTAAACAGTAGCAGTTGTATCAAAGTCATTGTCAAACATTCATTTCCTAATCCTCATTAACAACAAAACAAACTCAACCACCGCTCGGAAAGGTCGGCTCTGGAGGTGGATCATGAATCATCTACTCTCTTCAAGAAGGTTTCACACAAGGCCACACATCCCAGCAGCCTGAACCGCCGTGCTGGGTTCAAGAAAGGACCAAAATGTGAAGAGAGAGAGAGAAAAGTCCACACAGCTATAATGCTCTCGTGTCTTTAATTTACAGACCGCGAGATTAACGTTTCGGGCTGTGCTGATTTTTCTCTAGTTTTTCATTTACTGTCCTTACATGGCTAGACAAGGCAAGATTATTTGTATAGTGCAATTCATACAACTCAAAGTGCTGAACAAAAACAACAGATAGCATAAATATTCACAGTACATTCAAAATATAAATAAAAATATGAAATTCTTCAGTTGTAAGCACAGCTAAACCAAACTGTTTTTAACCTGGATTTGAACATTGTCAGAGAAGAGTCTCACATTTACAGATGTTAGTTCAAGACATAATTATGTGATATTGATGGTGTCTTCTTTCCTCTCACAATCTACCACAGAATAAAGAAATGATTATTGATATAACACCTGTTTTTCTTTGAAGAGAGATGACATCATGTGACGCCATCTGTACATCAAGAAGGCCCAGGATGGACTTCCTGCGGCAGCTCAGGAAAGTTCTACACGGCCATAATCGAGTCCATCCTCACCTCCTCCATCACCTCCCTCACCTCCTCCATCACCTCCTCCATCACCTCCTCCATCACCTCCATCACCTCCCTCACCTCCTCCATCTCCTCCATCACCTCCTCCATCATCTCCTCCATCACCTCCTCCATCACCTCCTCTATCACCTCCTCCATCACCTCCACCATCACCGCCATCACCTCCTCCATCACCTCCACCATCACCTCCCTCACCTCCTCCATCACCTCCTCCAGCACCTCCTCCATCACCTCCTCCATCACCTCCATCACCTCCCTCACCTCCTCCATCTCCTCCATCACCTCCTCCATCAACTCCTCCATCACCTCCTCCATCACCTCCTCTATCACCTCCTCCATCACCTCCACCATCACCTCCTCCATCACCTCCACCATCACCTCCCTCACCTCCTCCATCACCTCCTCCAGCACCTCCTCCATCACCTCCTCCATCACCTCCATCACCTCCCTCACCTCCTCCATCTCCTCCATCACCTCCTCCATCATCTCCTCCATCACCTCCTCCATCACCTCCTCTATCACCTCCTCCATCACCTCCACCATCACCGCCATCACCTCCTCCATCACCTCCACCATCACCTCCATCACCTCCTCCATCACCTCCTCCATCACCTCCACCATCACCGCCATCACCTCCACCATCACCTCCATCACCTCCTCCATCACCTCCTCCATCACCCCCACCATCACCTCCATCACCTCCTCCAGCACCTCCTCCATCACCTCCTCATCACCTCCTCCATCACCTCCTCATCACCTCCTCCATCACCTCCTCCATCACCTCCTCATCACCTCCTCCATCACCTCCTCCATCACCTCCTCCATCACCTCCTCCATCACCTCCTCATCACCTCCTCCATCACCTCCTCCATCCCCTCCTCCATCACCTCCTCCATCACCTCCTCATCACCTCCTCCATCACCTCCTCCATCACCTCCTCCATCACTGTGTGGTTCGCTGGAGCCACAGTCAGGGACAAACAGAGACTACAGTGCATTGTGCGCTCTGCAGAGGAAGTGATCGGCCGCAGCCTTCCATCGCTGCAGGACCTGTACGTCGCCCGAGCTCGAGGCCGGGCTGGTCGTATCACAGCCGACCCCTCTCACCTGCACATGGACTATTCCAACCACTCCCCTCAGGCAGGAGGCTGCGGTCCATCAGGACTAGAACCTCCCGCCACAAGAACAGTTTCTTCCCCTCTGCTGTTGGACTCTTGAACACTTCTTAACCTGTCCCCCCGCCCTTTATAAAGTCACTTTACTGCCCATCATACGTCACTTTACTTCACTGTACTGCTGTCACCTTACATTGTGTGCACCATGTGCACTTGTATATTGTAAATAGTAACTGTAACTCTATTCTAAATTTAAATTTATTCCTTAGAAGTGTATGGAGAAATATCAGACCGAGCCTTAATGCACAGACCAAGCCTTAATGTACAGACCGAGCCGTGGCGAGTGTTTTTGTTTTTTCCTGTGCTATTGGTGCGTTGAAACAACTCCCGGTTGTTCACCCTCAATTGGAGGGCAAGTGGAGGCGCTCTCCACTTGCCCTCTCCACTTGCCCTCTCCACTCTTATCTCTTAATCTTAATGAGGGTGTCCTTTTAAAACCTTCTTCTTTATGTAAGCACCATCGTCGCAGCACTTTCTTATTTCACACTTATATCATCAAACTGTTCAAGGTCTAATTCCATTTCTATGACGCTAGAAGCAGTGATGGTGACTCATACAAAACTCGTACGAAGTGGATTTTCACTGGTTAAAACTTTCCGTGTGCTTCTCCGATCGACAAAATGCATTCAAATATTGGGTACGCTAAATTGCCTCCAAAGTTGAGTGAATTAAAAGCAGTCGTTGTTTCAATGCAGTCGTAGCTGTCAGTCACAGATCCCCATCTCCCAAAGCTTCAGAGGAAACTCCGCCTAAACTCCCCCGGATCTCGCTCTCTGTTTTGACTTCCTTCACTCGAACAAAATTAGGTTTACTTTGGGCAGTCCCGGGAGAGGCCCAGGCAGAATGGACTAAGAAAACAGGATTTAACAGGGTCAGACCAGTGCAGCGCTGCGGGGACCGGAAGTTTGGGGACTGTGATGGTTCAGCGGGAGGAGGTTCAGCCACAGACGGGCGGCACGGTGGCTGAGTGGATAGCACTCTCGCCTCTCAGCAAGAAGGTCCTGGGTTCGAATCCCGGTCGGACCAGGGCCTTTCTGAGTGGAGTTTGCATGTTCTCCCCGTGTCTGCGTAGGTTTCCTCCGGGTACTCCGGTTTCCCCTACCACTAAAAATATGTCCAATAGTTCTGGCATGTGCCTCCTGTACTGGCGACCCCGCTCCCATCTCTGTGTGGAGTGAGAGACAAATGCCCAAAAATTAACAATTGTAAACCGCTTTGAGACTCAGTTCTGCAGTGAAAAGGCGGTATATAAATAAATACTTACTTACTACTACTACTTACTTACTTACGTTAAGGTTATTGACTTTAATTCAATATGTGTTTGTATATGGCCCTAAATCACAACAGCAGCCATCTCCGAGGACTCTACAAAGTTAGTAATTCACAAACAGAGATCAGAGAAGTCAGTAAGTCATGTGTGTTTATGTAGTGCCTTTTACAGACCAGAGTCACAAAATATTGTTATGGGCATTTGTCTCTGACGCCACACAGAGATGGGAATGGGGTCGCTGTACAGGGGGCGATCTATTTTTATTGGTAGGGGAAACCGGAGCACCCTGAGGAAACCTAGAGACATGGGGAGAATATGCAAACTGCACACAGAAAGGTCTGGAGGTGGAATGTGTTGTAAAACTGTTGTAGGGATTGAATCCAGATCACAGCAAGAAGGTCCTGGGTACAAAAAGTTTTAGTTTTATTACTTTTATTACAATTTAGTAATTAAAAGGTTGTTTTAGCACTGGCTTTGAGCTAACATAATTACATGAAAAATAAACTACATATTGAAACAGATACAGTTATGAAGCCCGAAAACGTACATATGTTAAGTACTCACATTTCCAAAACGCAAATCCGTCAAAATTTCTCTGGGAGTATTTAACTCATCTTTAAATACTTTGCTTTTTTTTAGACTTGTTTGTATATCGGTGAACCATTAACCCTAACCCTAACCCAAGAAGGTGGTTGGGAATGGGAAGGAGTGTACTTTTTAGATCTCAACCAGTGGAGGCGGGTCCCGGCTCCAAAAGGTCCACGTGCGCTGACATGCTGCTATCTCACTCCGAGCTGGTGGGGGTGTACCCGGAAAGAGAATTACCCAATGCTTTTGTATGGCGTCTTCTTTCCTCTTGAAAACGTCTTTACAGGATGGTCCAAAAGTCGCTCTTGACTCAACGCTTTGGTCCAGATGCTGTCGATGCTGAAGGCGTATTATTTTTTTTGGACCAGTCTAGTTAAGCCGCTGTGGACTTTTGAATGCACTTGTTAAATGAATGGGGCTCGTGTCTGCTAGAGCATACGCATATGTATTTTTTCAAATTCTCCTGCCCCACGGCCATTCTGAAAAAGCCCACAGAAGGCTAAACGTAATGGCCCATTAGTTTAAACGGCGGGGATAGATCTATGTTACATCATTGCTCTCAACCCAAAACATAAAATAGTGACTCCCAGGGCTCCCATTCTCTACAAGAATGCAAAAGATGTTTTCTAATAAGACGCAGACAAGATGAAGGCATGATGTCTTTAGCACCTTTTTTATCCTGTTGGGACAAATTGCAGGTGTTATTCATGCCACGAAAAAGTTACATACCCCAGCTTTGTTCCCGAATCTGACCCAAGAGCCGGACAATCTCAAAACTACCAGACAAACCCAAGTTCCCCGGCAAAGCTGACCTCATGATTCCGTTGTGCCTGTAAATCCAAGTATCCTTCAGAGCTCCATGATTGTGATCAACGACCCTGACGCCTGTACAACTTTAGACTTGTTATCTCAGCTGGATGCAGATTTCAGTCGTAACTGTTAGTGTAGAACTACATTACATCTGCTGTGGAAGGCAGGCCAGATGTCCTCAGAGCACTCAGACAGAGCAGGGAAGAGTTTCAGGAGTGAACAGAGTTAGAGTCAGACGATGCAAAGAGCCACAGTGGAACCATCAACAAACCATTCGTCACTAAGTGCAGCTCTGGTCCCGGCAACAAACACAAATATGTGCTCCGGCTAAATATGGACAGTTTTGAAAAAGTTTAGAAAGACTTTTTTTCAGCTTGTTGGTTTGAGGCTGCAAACTGAAAACAGATTTTCTCACAGTTCTTCAAATATTAGATACATTTTGGATTATTATTTGGCAGCATGGTGGCGCAAGAAGGTCCAGGGATCAATTCCACCTCCAGGCCTCTCTGTGTGGAGTTTGCATGTTCTCCCCGTGTCTGCGAATTGTCAAATCTGGTTTCAATGCAGTCAATTAAGACATATTTGAATCACTTTTTGCAGCTCGGTCATATGGCTGAACTAAAGTTTTCATAAACATAAGTATATTATAGTAAATATAGCATAAGAAGCAAAAAACTGTTAAATCTCGCACACGTAGGAGGCCACACTTTCATAAACAGATTCCGATGAGGAGCGTGAAGTGGACATTATTTTCACCTGGAAGTGTTTTCGCCGCTTTCAAAACCATACTGTGGAATCCTGCTATGCTTTGCACGTTTAAAATGGGCCTCAGTGTTAAACGCCTGTGCCATCTGCTCGGGCTGGAAGGCTCCGGGACCCTACATGAAAAGTAGAATATTGTTGACTTTAGATGCGTTGAATGAAACAGAACAGACGGAGCAAACATTACAACAGAGAATGATCCCGGGGAAGTCCGTGATGTCTCAGTGGTCAGAGGCAGTGCGTGTGATCAGAGAATATACATTATGATTGCATTTCTCCACAGACATGAGTCATTTACTGAACAGGACGATGAATACTTTAGAATACATTGCGTTGGAAAGATAGATGTGAGGTCTGGAATGGACTTAAAGCAAAAACAATTTACAGAACACACATAAGTCAGAAGAATCGGGTCCATCTAACGTCCTTTCATTTCCACAGCATCTGTTGTGTTTTCCATAAGAGTCAGTTCACCGATGGCTAAAGTAATGCTGTCTATTATATAAAGAGGATATAACCAGTGTTGGGTAAAAGACTTGAAAATGTATTCCATTCCAGAATACTGAATACAGGGCAGTAGGACAGTTGGTAGAGCAGTGGCCTTTGAGCCTGGAGGTTGTGAGTTCGATTCCCACCATGGGATCTGCTTTCACTGATGTCTACTGTCGTTGTGTCCTTGGGCAAGACACCTAACCCCACGTTGCCTGAAGCCCCCGCTGAAAGACCAAGGCTGTTTCACCACTGACAGAGCAGCCATCTTCCTGTGGACTCACCCACTGCAGAGGATCAGAGGGACTGGTGCTATGAGCTTTGGGGGCAGCTCTCATTGCCACCCCCCTGACCCAGAAATGGACAATAAAGGGCTTGAAAATGAAATGAATTGGATAAAGTAGAACCGTATTTGTTGTAGATTAACGGTTATTTACAAAAGGTACATTTTAAAATATTTTAAACCACAACTTCAATAAATGTTTAAATAAATAAAACATGTCATTATTCCATCATGTATTGTTTATTTTTTGTAAAACAAGTCAAAGTTTAACCATTTAACAAGAAAACATAGAATTTTCACTTTAAAAATACGCTATGTTTTCTTTACTTTTCTTCAACCTTAAA